CTGCCTGGATACAAAGAAGTGCGCACACACACACACATCTTTCCTGAAGTACATATTGCAGACCACGCCACGAGACACATTTGTTCAAACACGACAAGAACAAAGAGAGCAGGTGGTGTTGGACCTTACACACCTGCCAAAAAACGAACGAGTAAGAGAAAGGAAGCTCTTCACTACTCAAAATAAGCTGCTTAACAAACTTAAAATGTATGTAGTGACACTACATACATATAAACGTATAAAATGTATGTAGTGAAACTACATAGTGAAACTACATACATTTTAAGTTTGTTAAGCAGCTTATTTTGAGGATAAGAAAAGAAAAACTGAAAAAAATATCACTCCTTTTTTTGCAAATTTGAAATCAATATGCAGTATAATTCTCTTTAAATGTGTATTCATACTGCATGTGGAGGTATATCTAATTTATAAATCATAAGGAACTGGCTTAGCCAATAATGAGAAATCACATTTTTCTTTTATTCAAAGATCGAAAGCTACTCTATTGGCAGAGATGACAGAAGAGGAGTGTAACAGCAGAGGGTAGAAAAACCATTCCCCATTAAATGAAAATACTAGAAATGGTGAGGTATTGTCCTTTGCTCATCATTATGTCATGCTTCCTTTGGGGCAAAGAAAGCTCCCGTCTCAGCCTCGCAGCAAACCAACTAGCCTCTGCAAGTGGCTGAGTGTGTGCACAGCTGAGACCGGCTAATTAAATGAGAACGCTTCCTAACCATAAGCCAAGGGTGAGGAACATCATCCTCTTTGTCACCAGGCAGCGCGGTGGACTCGCTGAAAGGCAGAATACATCCTGGTTGATGTGATCTTATGCTGAGGGCTGGCCTGCTGTTTTTGTGGGAAATACAAAAAACAGCATATACCTTTTTTGTCTCGAGTCAGAAAACAGTCTCACTCGCTCTAATGGTGCCCTGCTATTGTGCACTGTACGTGCTCTCCTCTGATACTGGACATAGGACCTCGGAGTGTAAACAGCAAATCAGGCCATCTAACAGCAGGTCATTTTACTGCCGCAACTCTGACACACACCAGCAGTCATGGGAGCTCCTTACCCAATTTACCCTGCTTGCAGACAAAAACTGTGGCATGCTACAGTGAAATTGCTCTTTAGCTTTTTGAGAGATACAGGACTCCGTACAGGACTCCGTAGAGGACTCCGAGGCGCAAACACCATATAACAAAGAAAGCGAACTAGGATACAAAGACCGGAAAACTGCAACCCTGACACAGCCAGAAAATCGTCAGCCAAAACATTTTCCTTACAAAAGCATTTAAATAAGCAAGCCGAGTGGTGAAAAGCACCGATAATACGAATTCATTGGTTTTACAAATATGTACATGGCACACAGTGTATACAGCTGCTTCAGGCCAATAGGAGAGTGTCCTGAGAGGCCAGTGCCATGAAAGGCAGGTTCACAATGAAGGATCACTTCAAAAGAACTTGTAAACAATGGTGAGTCCATTTTAAATCAGCCCTGCCTGTAGATAATCAGCTAAAAATAAATCATGCCTCCATCTCAGGCATCATTCACCGAACGCTGGCAGCTGCTGGATTTTCACATCAAAATAAAATATTTATGTTGGAAAATAAATGTCAAATGAGATCTAATTTAGCATGAAAACTGGCTAAAGGTCCTTGCTGATAGCATCTTATACACAGAAACATCGTGATGGGACATCTGTCACTTCTTGATGTGCCTCTGCCCCGGTCTTCATACGTTCCCCCGGAAAGGTCAGCGGTAAAAGCTACTTAATGCTACCTAAAACCATTTCCATGCACATTCTGACTAATACCTGAAAGATCAACAAGAGATCAGAACAACAAGCTCTGCATTCATCCGCCCTCACTGATAAAAAACAAGAAACTAAACAATCCCATAAAAACGAAAACAACAATCAGCTACAAAGGTGACTATTAAACTGGAACAGGTCAAACTAATCTACTTCTAACAATGTTAATGACAAACTACATCACTACACGCGACTAAACGACCACCACTTGCCTAATTTTTACTAACCTGCTCACCTCAAGCCCTACAGTTAGAGAAAATAATCAGTGGGACTGAAGTAAAGGTGTTGAGCAACTTCCTGACGTGTGTAGTTATGGAGGATCCAGGCCTGTAAGGGACTGCCGTTACAGGACTCCACTGTGGGGCCGTAGGTGTCGTCCTCCAGGCGGCTGATGGTCAGACATGATTGGGTGATGATGTGGAGAAAGGTGTGCTTCTGCAGCAAGCCCGGAGTGATAGGGAGAGATGGTATTGAAGGTAAATCCAAGAGTCATTAATTTTTGTTAAATCAATCCATCTGTTCCTCACTGCCCACTTTCAAGTTTAATAACAGGTGATTTGTTCAAATAGAAAAGTTGTGTTGTATATTTAAGGTGTTTGAATCCTGGACTGACGCAGTTTGATCATGGACCTGCATCAGGTGTAAAATTCACAGTATGAAACCATACATCTTCAATATATATGAATGACTGGTGACTCAGATATCAATACATCTGAGACAAATTAACCAGTGAATTAGCACATCAATAATTATAACTGGTGAAAAAAAAATTCAAATTCTGCACAGTACAGATATAAATAGATTGTGTTAAACTATAACAGATGTGAATGAACAGCAATGTTTGTTGTTTTGACATGACCCATTTAATATTCGGTTGAATAAAAAACAATGTATTTTTTGTTGTACAGATTTTGGCATATTGCTGGTTTCCTTTTAAGAAATGTTTCTCAATGATTGATCTGGTAATGAGGTTACTTTTGGCTCAGATGTTTTGATATTTGCTCCTCCTTTTTGATTGGAGGATACAACTAATCAAGTGCTGCATTCAAGACTAAGGAGACTCTGAAATGTCCAATGAAACAAATATGGACATCTCCACATAACCTTTAGATATGTACAACATGACAATGTAATAGAGTTGAATTTATACTGTCAATGCACAGAATGCAAATCGTTCACATCTAAATGTTTTTACATCTCTGAATGCGACATTAGTATAAAGGAGTTTTATATTGTGAATTTGATGCCTGACAAAGATCAGTAATGATAACTTTATATCTCTACTAAACTCAGTGCTGCTCATAGTTTGCAGATATTAAACTTGTTTCTACCCCACGTGATTACATTCTTCCTAATTTAGATAAACACTTTAGTGCAAAGGGTTACATTTTCGCAAAGGACGTGTCTTTGTGGGTGACACAACCTGACAGCTCTCCTTGGCAATACAGAGTATTGCCGATAATAACAATAACAGTAAAACAACTATCAATCTCTACTATGCTAATGTAAATGTTACATGTATGCAAAGGATAAACTGAAGGCCAGGATACTGTACATTTGTCAGATTATTCTATTTAATATTAAGGTATATTTATGTGTAAATAAAGGAGAGAGAACATAGCTCGATCCTGGCTGAAACAGCAGGGGGAAAAGAAAGAGGGCAGTCTGTCACAGTTGTGAATGAATAAAGCAGGACCATGGTAGAGACAGGTATTTCTATGAAAGTGAAACTGATGAGAAGATGAAATGTTAATGGTTCTTTAGTCACAAAGGATTCAGTCCCTGTCCATCACACTGGGGCTTAAAATAACCGAGGCCACTGACAGCGGCGAAACCCCAATGCTGTTTACAACAGAGACCAGTCCTCTTCGTTTATGAATTATTCAAGTTCTTCCATATTAAGAATGCTCCCAGAGAACAAAGTGTAATGAAGGGATTTCTCCGAGGGTTTGTTCAGTGCTGGGTGGAAAGGCCTCCGGGCCTCCTCACCTTGTCACAACTACATGTCAGCTATAGTACATCTCAATCACTGATAAATGGCCCTGTATTCAGCTCACTCTTCTCCAACCATCGCCTTGTGCTTCAGTGGAGGAAACATGAATTGTTAATATAAAAGTTGCTTTTTGTGACTTACAATCCATAATGGACTATGAGTTATGAATCAACAAGGGGAGTATTTTAGTCCTTCTTTGAGATCCACATTTTTCTTTTTTATATTTAAGAGCCTTCAAAATTGACTCTACATTTCATAATGAATGTATCCATAACCAGGAATATAAGGTAAAAATGAATCTGCTGTTTAATATGCAGAATTCGTTGGCTTTTTCATTCATCTAATCCTTATTTTCATGCTTCTATGAATAAACTATGAGTCACTTGTTGGATGTGTACATTTTGTTTAAGTGTGTCTTACAGGCCATAGGTCTGTTATGTAACACACATATATCAGGATAAAGGTTTGTTATTCTACCTGGCAGGTGTTTTATTATTTTTCCCATCTCATTTACTTTAATTAGGGTTGATTTAATGGCAGCAATATCTCTATGTATAGTTCAATTCAGTCGAACAGCAAATGCTCCACTCCATAATGTCGAGTCTTAACAAAAACTAAACATCATATATTTGTATATATATCGTATCAGACTGCATTCTTTACAGGAGGGGTGTTGTGATGGGTTAAAAATAGAATTCATTTTAAAGAACAAATAGAAATCAAACATCCTTTAAAGATTCAACCTCCCCTTTCTGCCAAAAATAATAAACCGTAAATCCTCTACTCTAAAAACCACCAACACAGAATTATGGGATAAATCACAACACTGGAAGCACAGCACTCAAACTACGGGGCAATATTCAGGAACGATGACAGCTTACCTCAAAATCATATTCCCACTTGCCAACATACTAAGTGAGAGGAGAGAACATGAGAGCAGAGACTCAGCAGCTGGGGTTGACAACTGCTAAAAAACGGACATACAGCGCCATCTGGTGGAAGAAAATGTGTATTGCTTCTCCTACTTTGCACTACCCAAACCCTCACGATGACATAGGCAAAACAAAATCATTCAGCATTTCCTCCAAGTCCTTTTTCGAAATATCAGTCAATAGGAACCAAAGAATGCCCCCCTGCAACAACACGCAGCCTGGTTATGGCATTATTTGGCTGCTAACGGGAATATGAGTCCTACCTCGGCATCGTACTCGAACATCTGATTGCCCTTCATGTGGTGACACTTGAGCATGACGACGGGTCCATTGAGGCGGGATACGTCCAAACAAAGGTCGTCTGTCCTTATTTCTTTATCCGCCGTGTAAGAAAACACCTGAAAAACAAGAGGCCTCTGTCAGAAGAGGAAGATTCAATGTCATCACTAGGCTTTCTAGAAATATATAAGATCATTGTGTCTTTGATCAAGGGATATTTGAGTGATTTGCACAACATTTGTGATTTTATTTGGATTTAGAGCCTTTGTTGTGCCAAACCTGATTTAGATTGTATACTGTACAAAAGGAGTGCAGTTTCAGTGATGTATACTCATGTAGTGTCTCATGTAGTGCAGTTATTCATAATAGCCCATAACAAGAGTTGCAAGCAAAGAGGGAACACTGTTCAGACGAGAGTACAATTAAATACTTGGCACAAACCATCCTCAAATGCCAAAGACTTCACAATGACCGGCAGCAGTGAACCAAATTAACAAAGGACTAAAGAAACACGAAAGAGAAACTTGGCCAACATCCCAACTTGAATTGTATGGAAAATCTGTGGATTGACTTGAAAGTTGGCAATTCACACACACTTTGCCTCCAGTGTGATTGAGCTCAAGCTTTGGAGCAAAATCCCAAAGCTCATGTTTCCAGGATAAAGCAGTATCAAAGGCTTGGCTTTTTCAATGTTAATCCAAAAGAGATTAATCCTACATTCCACTAAGAACAATTCCTCTTTAGGCACATTCCCAGTTATTGTTCATAGGACAATGTGTGTGTTGTTGTACAAACAGTGTTGTAAGACTACAAACAATACATATTTTTGCTTTAATATCTTTCTTCACTCACCTGGTTTCCACCCATGCCATGACAGTTGAAAAAGCCAACTTTCTCGTTCTCCTTTCTTCCCATGTTGTCCACACACTGGTTGGTCTCAACATTTCTGATCTACAGGAAGGATTAGAAAAAAAGGTTCTCTAATGTGAAGTTAACTTTCTATGTCTAGTCTGTGTCTTTAATTTCATACTTATTAGCAACCTAACCAAACAAAAGCCAGTCGAGGCCTGCTTAATATTTCTCATTAAAAATGAATAATCTCTTCTACACCCCTATTCTTTTGTGAGTGTTCATTAATGTCCTGTGGTTTATTGCTACCGTTTCAGTTTTAGTTCTTGTTAAAGCTTTACTTTTTTAGGTTTTTATATGCAAAAACGGCAGAGATTTTCTGATTTAGATACTTAATGAACAGTATGTGAGGCTTATCTTTTTTTATTTATCGTTGTAAAATTAATGTCTTTGGATTTTAGTTTGACAAGTGAGACATTTGAAGAAAGCCGTCTTAGGCTCAAGGAAATCATAGCTGGCATTTTCTATCTTTTTTTTACATTTTTTCTAGGCAAAATTATACCATAGTAATTAAATGTTTGTTAGTAGAAGCCTCAAATCCTCAATATAATTGATATTGTCTCACCAAGTTATCCAAATTCTACTTTCTATTGTCTTTCCTTGCTGAAATGCAGAAGTGAACTCACTGACTTTACAGTCCACTCAGCTTTCTAATGAAGTCATACATTCTAAGGCTGAGCTGGCTCTATATGTTGCCTGAGCGTCTTAGTATAGCTGTCGTGCAGGAACAGGACGGCGTTCATAATTAAGTGATATAAAACCTAATGGTTCCAGCTGTTAAAGAAAGGCTGACTGTGTTATGGAGGAAGATAAATCAGCTGGGAGAAGTTAGAGGAAGACGGGAGCTGAGGAGCTGCAGTGGCTAAAGAGAGAGAGGGAGAATCAAGTCGTACTGCAGGACAGCAGAGAACAATCCCCTCATCCTCAGCTGTATGAATGTTGGAGGATTACAGGCTCATTTCAGTTCTTCCACTGACATTACTTTTAAATGGCTCCCATCTATTGAACAGACAGCGCACTGCATGTCAGCACGGAGCCATGGGCATCGAGAGGCAAATCCAGGCCACTTAAAATCTTTTCTGTGTGAGGGGGAACTAACGATTAGAAAGGAACTCAAACTTTCAATATCTTCAAAACAATTAACCATGAATTCTCAAAGCTTAGCTGAAAATTATCGCAGTTCCCACAACACCCTTTCTCTTTTGTAAAAAAAACACTGTTTCATCTCTGCTTATTAGAGTAATACAATTTTTTTTTCCTTCTTTTTAAAAAGGTCCTCTGTTTTCAGGTTCTAGAAGAAATAATATTTTCACACATTTTCTGATTACATCACTGTTTGAGAGAGATTCTGACTCATATTTGGTTTTAATAATTAATTTAGGTTCACCCAGCACAACACCAAACTGTGCCATGAGACTATAAAATGTATACATGCGCCTTATCTCAGCTACCCAGCATTCATAGCAACAACTGTGTATGTGGCTGGGATCAATACTGCCAGCACGAACATCCCCCTGTTTGTTTATCCTAGGCATTCAATACTAACAGCTGGGGATGTTTGTTTTTATCTTGTTTGGTGTAGCCTTTTGCTGGATCCAGAGATTTTCTGATATTTCTCACAGCAATATTGTCTTTCTGAAAGCGCAACCCTGGAGCTACAAGGACACATCTGACTGAATGCAGAGGGAGGCAGTCTGCATCTGATGCATTCATGGAGATCAGAGTACAAGGGAGCTCATACTTCACCAAGTGAGTAGTATCTCCTCGGGATCTGGGAGTCTGGGTAGATGTTCTCTAGATACCAGGAAAACGGTTTGCACTTCAAGGCCTCGCGAAGGTCTCTGCGGGAGGAAACGTCTCCGTAGTCCACACGCATCACGCCTGCAGACAAAATGCCAAGACAAGGATTCACATATATGCAACTCTGAACATCATTAACCGGCGTTAACCTTAGTATTTACGTGTTTTGTCCCGATTATAATCCTGTTTTCTTGCACCACCTCGACTAAACACCAGAGGGACCCTTTATTAAAACCTTGCAAAAGTACCTGAAAATACTGGCTGTGTGGGTGGACATGGCAGCATTTTCTACTGAGTAACACATCACAACCTACAGTAATTGCTGCTAAGAGGGCTTGTGAGGAAGTCAAATTCTATTTATACACCGCTTTTCTAAAGGCACATTCTTCAGATATGCAGAAAAAATGCAATTGTGGAATACTGTCATGATGCATGCAAAAATGAAGATTGCATTACAGTATGTGTCAGCCCTAATACAACAGAAGACTAAAGAATGATTAGGCACCGACACTTACAAACACATTAAGCAGATGGTTTCTCCCCAGAGTGCTTCTTGAGGACTCATAACTTGCATGTAGACAGACACGGAAGGCTATTTATCATGAAAGAGTGTGATTGCGATATGACAGAACACGATATTAAACAACAACCGTTATGTTAAGACTTACAGTTTGTTTATCCGTCAAACAGGAGCCTGACAATGCAAACAGCACCTTCTGTCACACTAACAAGGTGTTACACTTTAATCTGGGAAATAGACATTTCAAGGCGAGATAAAAGTGAAAACCTGAAGGCCACTCTTCCTCCCCTGCCTCCCAATTTATTCTCTGTGTAGGGTCTGAACATCACATGTTGCAGATGATGAATAGCCTCTTTGATCTTTAAATCACCAGTGCCGAGGAGGGAGATGCACTTTTAATAGAAGCGCTAAATGTGCCACTCCCAAACTCAGCCTGAGCAACATACTGTGTTCCTCTGTGCCAATAAGGGAGGTCTAGGAGCAGCGTGGCCCAGATCATTCTCCATAATGTCCTGGAGGAACAGACGGTCATTGTGGGGCCACAACAAGCGGAAAGACTCATCCATCACAACCTCTCTCTCTCTGCACACCTGACTGTAGGAGGGTCTAGCGACTGTGTGGAGGAGGAGGTCAGAGTTTGAGCTATCAGATCAGCAGATTATAGATGATCCCTTATAGGTTGTCTGGCATCTCAAACTCTTGACCAGAGATTTCCGGGAGACCGCAAGCTCCTAAAGGGTAATCACATTGCTAAGTCGACAGATGGAAGGGTACTCATCTTTTAATCTGCACTCTCCTATTGTTCTGGTTGGATATGTGAGAGAGAAGTCTGTGTTGGACAGGAGAGCCTCTAAGACAAACTCCAGTTTAGAGGAGCACTCAAAAATGTGTCAGAAGGAGGAATTAATTCATCTTATTTTGGATAGGACAAAAGCAGCAATAAACTCAATGTGAGCCAGAGTAAAAGGAGAAATATAAATTCTTAAATGAGCCAGGTTAAAAAAAAGCAAGAAAATGGAAGAATAAAAGAGAGGAAAAACGACTTTCCTTTTCGCACCAATTTGCTAAATGTAATATCAGTGAGCATGCGAGAAGTAAAGAGGGGTTGAGGATTGTTCATATCTGTGTCTGCACAGCAGTGTGCAATGAATAAAACATCTATTAAATCCCTGAATGAACTATACATTCCCTAAAACTTTTAAATCATACAGAATTCCTGCCAGTTCAGTTAAATCATCCACTGAATAGTCAGTCTTCTGCCCATATCTGTGATCTGCTAACTCCCTCTCAGCATAATCAGGGCTTTGGTAAGGCCGTACCAACCGTTATAAAAATCTCCACTTTGCCCTAAAGGTTACCGGGCCTCTGCTCTCCGGCCCCTCAGCTGTGGAGCTTCCTATCTGAGCCTTCAGACCATCTTATGTAGTGACCTCTTTTACAGTAAACCTTGGTTTTATTTTTAACTGATGGTATTTCAACAATTGTATCATGTTTTATATCTTGTACATGTTTTGGTTACTGATTAGCAGTGGTGGGAGAAGTATTTTTTAAATCTCACTTTAGTAAAAAGGTACAAAAGTATAAGCATCAAAATATACTTGTAATAAGAAGTATCATAATGCAGAATGGCCCATTTTAGAATCAAATGTACTATATAATTATTGAAGCATTAATGTGCTCACACTTTAGTTTGCAGCTCAGAAAGGTGGAGCTAACTTCAATGTATTTATATACAGCTTGGTGTAAACAAACAATATGTTATTTGTTGATAATGTTAAGCATTACGGTAGTTATCTGTTATAAGTAAATTAACTGATGTAAAAAATGCATGTAGTGGAGTATAAGTAAGAGAAATACTTAAGTAAAGTTCCTCAAATTTCTACTTAAGTACAGTACTTTTTTTTATTGTCACTAGTTTTAAAAAGGTGATCATAAAGTTATTATTACTACTATTTCAGTGGCACATGCACTCAGACACTGGCTCCACTGCTCTGTACCTGGCGATATGATGTAGAAGAAATCTTTGAAATCATCCATCCATACTTCCGCCAGGCGCCTGTTGTTCTTGTTGATGACTTGGCCCGTTCCTCCGGGAAAACTGTATGGGGTGGCCTTCCGGAAAACATGGCCCACGTGTGAACATGTTACAATTTCTAATGAGCCCCCACACTGCCAGATCTGCAAACAAACACACACACACACACACACACACACAGTGTATTTTTATACAGCCCGTAGCAGGAAAGCAGACAGATACATTCACATGAATTATGCAGGCAAGGAGAATAAAGCAAGGAAACAAGAAACCATATTATTCCCAAATATCTAGATTTCATGGTCTTACTTATTCAACATTTACTAATAATACTAGATGTGCTTCAAATTTGGAACTAATAAAGAAAGAAAAACGAAAAAAAAGCATAAAATATTGATTTGGGTTGTTATTAATAAACATTTAAAATAAACTTAAAATATGATTTATTTGTTCTATTTAGAGAGGTAAGGAAATCTCATTTAACTAAACATGCATTTCAAGGATTCCTCTTTCCTTGCATATTTTTCTTGAATCTTTCTCTTGAATTTTAAGTGGAAAGATGCCGGTGAGTGAAACGTGGATACAATAAAAGGGAGTTTGTTGACATGAATGCACTCTGGTGACATGATAACATCAAGATACTGTAGCATCCTCCCAGGTCTGTCACTCACTCTGAAAGACATTTCCAGGTTCTCTCCGCCCCAGATATCCATCCCTGGATCGTAGCTTCCTATTTCTTCAAAGTATGTTTTGTATATACAGAATAATCCTCCTGCCATGGTGGGAGTCCTGTAAGAAAAACAAATACAACAATTATGCAATATTGCCTCACTTTGTGCTCTATTTATTAGTACCTCAGTGCAACTCAGAGGACCGTTATGAATGAACAAAAAAACAGTTTGTTGACAAACGGAAACAAATCCTGAGAGGGGTAATTACTTTTATCTCTTAATTCATTATATGTTAAAGTCAACCCCTAATTAAAGATATTGTTTGTTGCTGTGAGTGGTTCGCATGCAAATTACAAAGTGTGCCAAAAAAAAAAAAAGTCAGTTTTCTTTTTCTATTTTTAAAATAAATGAGCTCACACATACTTCAAGAGAGTACAACTATCAGGATGCTATTTAGGCAGTTGCTTACATCAGTGGGATACACAAAGGAAAAATATCTATTTCTATCTGCAGGATAAAAATGGTACAAGAGATGTTTGTGTGAAGAAATCTAACCATCCATGTCTTCTCTGTAGCCTGCTGCTCTCACAGATAAACCCACACTTAGAAAAAGTATCTCTTCACCTTTTGTTGTGTGATTTGACCTCCTCTCTCTTAATTGTTAATCAAAATACAACAAACTGGTAGAAAGTCAGACACACATTTCCCAGAGAAATGATCTAGACTCAGCTTCAAAGATTAAAGGTTTCTTTGTGTACCTGACAGGCAGTGTTCTGTCCCCCTTGCGCCGGTCCATCTCCCGCTGGGGAACAGGGTACCAGCGGAAATTCAGCTTCCAGTTGAATCCACCATAGGTCATATCTGAGCCTGCCATGTATTCAAACGTCTCGTCGCTGATGACATCGATGATAGGGCACACCACTGCTGTCCTGAAAGACACCAGAAATACAGTGTAAGATTTAAAGCTGAGATAAATGATATAGTAAAAGCAGAGTAGAAAAATAGGATAAACGTAACAAAAGAAAACCAACTGAGTAATGGTTGGTCTGTTAAAAACAAAAAGGGAAGCCACATGCTGTTCCCACCAGGCTCTTTGTTGATTATTCCACAGATTTGCTTAAACCAACAAAAGTAGTAATGGCAACATTAAAATAGTTTCAAAATATAGAATGTCAATTATCTCAGACAAAGGTAAAGTAAGCTATTACTAGTGTAGGAGTAACGTTACCACTAGTTTTGTTATGAAGTCATGTTTAACAGTGTATTATGCTATAGTCTAGGTTGGACACTGGCAAAAAGTTATTATATAAAAGTAAACTGTAATGTCTTTCCTTTATCATAGATCATATGACCATTAAAAAGGTCTAACGAGCACTGTCACTCATCTTTGCATAAGTGACCGGTTAATATATTGGCATTGAATTTCAAGTGTGATCGTGTCACGATAATGAGTATTTCTTCTGATGAAATGCACACCAATGAACAACAACCAATCGCATTTTGAATACTTTAGCAACATCTTGAAAGTGAATGTCAGATTTGGACAAAATGTTACCACAACAAACATGATGTCAATGTATCAACAAAAACAACCCTCTATCAATAATCCTGCTGCAGTAAGCATATCATATTTTCTGCTCTTCCTGTGCCCTTTTTTAAAGACATGAATACATCTGCAGCAGCATTCAGTAAAAGTGTAATGGCTCCATAATATCATTTTCTTAGTAATATGATTCTGGTTTCTTCCTCAGGGAAAATGAATGTGTCTGACCTCAGTTATGAGAGGAATCGCCAAGAGAGTCATTATCAACCCATCCATTCATGTCAATCTCACACACGGACACCGCAGATTCACCCTTTGTTGTTCTGAAAATATATAACTTAACATTCCGATACCTAACAGCAGCTAAACATGTACGTGTCCACTATAACTTGGACTCTACCAGCGCATACTACCTCCTGATGTAGCAGTGTTAACACAAGTATAAAGCTACAGTAATTGGAGCTAGCTTTTCCTCCGAGGCAGCAGCAGATGATGCAAAATGATTATCTTCCCCTATCAGCAGCATCAGGCTCAAACTAAGTATTCATAACTGATGGTTTGCCGTCCCTACAATATTCAGACCGAGCTCAAGCACACCATGATGCAACTGAAGTGAAATGTGATAATGGCAGTATTATTAAAGAGTGATTAAAGATGAGACGCTCATAGAAACTGCCCCAGAAAAGTACACAACCCTACCTGTCTTCTTTGATGCGTGCCAGCAGGGGCTCCAGCCAGCCCACAGTACACTCGCAGTGAGCGTCCAGGAAGGTGATGACCTGACCTTTGGTAGCGGCCGCTCCCCTGAGCCTGGCTCTGATCAGACCTGAACGCTGCTCCATCCTCAGGATCCTCACCGGCACCTCCAGAGTGCGCACATAGTTCTCCAGCTTCTTCTTCAGGAAGTCTGAGAGAAAACAACAGACACAAAAAAGATGTAATCAAGAGCAGATTAACGCAGATAGAGCTGAACGAATAGATTCATTTCTCTATGAGTCAATCAACTGAAACATTTATAAAATTGAATTTGTGATTTTCAGAAATATTGTTGACAAAAATGCCAAAACATTCCCCGGTTAAGGACTCTGAAATACTTTCTAGTTTGAACTGTTGAAAGGGCAAAACAAGAAAACTAAATGAGTCAACTTAGGCTTTTTGAAACGTAAATCTATCATTACGATCCCTATTTTCTGGTATATGTTGGAAAAAATGGTTAATATATATCCTTTATTTAACCAGGTAAAAATTAAGCTAATAATCTGAATATATAATAGGCTGATTAATCCCAATGTCATCACAGCTTTTTATAGTAGTACAAAATATATAGTGTTAATTGTTTCTTATTAAGAGTTTGGTGGTATATTCAGTTTTGTTTTACCAGTATCCTTGACTACAGAGTTAACTAGAGAATGTAATTCCTGAAGAAATTGCTAGTGGGAATGCTTTATGCTGAAAATCTGACGCTAAACTGCTATGCTGAAATGTAATGTGTAAGAAGAAAGTGAAGAATTGAGATTGAAATGATAAATGAACACTGGGGGCTTGAATGTGTGATGAGAGAAGAAAATAAATTAAAAAGGCTTGGAAAAGCAGCAGAATATTTGAACTGCAAACTTCTGAACTAACTTGATGGCAAATGATCTGTCGCCATGGCAACGGCATTTGATGACACCCCATAATACGCTTAGATGCGTTGATGGCTGCATCGTTACCAAACCTGTAAAGTTTTGGGGCGTTTGGAGCATTTTCACTGAAGTTATGAGAAAACCGTGTTTCAAGGCGAGCATTGTGTTGCCATGGCAACGGCATTTGAAGAAATCTCAAAACTATCCCGTAGATGTCTTCACGGCTGGACTGTTTGCACACTGCTATCTGAAGTCTGCTGCTCTGAGCATGTCAGTTGGAGTGATGACATCATCGTGTTCCATTGCACAGGTGTTTATAGTTGAGCTAACGAGGTGCCTAGACTTCAAAGGCTTCACTGTTCTATCTTCATGCACGTACTACTACTTATTTCTTATGTCTGCGACAGTGAATACTGCTTCCTTGACTTCGATCTTTACAACTAGTTACGAGGCTACCGAGAATTGGGTGAGGCAGTCGGAGTGTGGGGTATTGGTGTGTATAGACCCGTTCGGGATTAGAAAGGTGAAGAATGTTAGAAATTAGTTGTAGTATTGGTGAAGACACAGCAGGTTCAAATCTTTGTAAAGTGAGATTTTCGAAACTGTCTGTTGGGTAGTTCTACTCCACTAGCGACTGTCACGACAGTTGTGTCCAAAATGAAAAAGATTTGGGGTGAATCTCTTAACGACAGTCGACTAGGGACACTGTTCTAAACGTGACTACCGTTCGTAACTCTGTATCCCGTCCTTGGAAGTTAAGAGTGAGTGAAAAGGTATCTTATGGTCTCGACGCCCATATGGTCTTTGGTACACTGCACGTCAAACCTTTGTCGTCCAACAGAATCTGATGGTTCAAGTTTGCCATATAAAATCCAAATCACTAGGTTTAGGGAGATGATGAAGTCGTGGGTGTGTGTCGAGGTACCTAAATAGCTATGTGTCGTGTATTTAACAAAGTACTCGGTGACAGACCCGGTACCTAACCATTGAACGTTTTTGGAGTGAGTCTATCCTAGTTTCTCTACCTGACTGATTTGATTTTATAATTTGATTTGGTCGGGGAGAGTGGGGGACGTGAGAGAGACGGATGTACCACTCCGTCCTCCGTCCAGTTGTTCTCTTTACGTAAACCGGTAAAAAACTATTGTTCCCACCCGTAGGCGGAAGTTTGACGACCAATATCAAATTAAATGTATATATTTCTTTTATTGTTTTTTATGTTATATATGTTAAGCGGATTTTGAGTGTCCAGACTTTTCCACCGTGAGATCCTCGTATGATGCCTTAATAACAGTCACTACATTTTCAGAGTTGTACAAGTGAATTTGACTAAGATGAAGAAAGACAAACAGAGAAGTCGACATTCTGTTCGACATGGGTCTGCTGACGGCTGTGTGGTCGTACAGTAGCACAAAGGTGTTGCGCCGCACCTCGTGGATTACAGACGCTGCCATAGTGTGCAGTGAGTTTGTAGCAGTCGGTCTTGTCGACGATCGCGCTCTAGCTACGAACACCTGCTTGCTGGTTCGCTCGCTCCTAATTCATTAGATGTGAGATGGGATGATCAAAACCCTGTTACGAGCAGTCGTAAGGTTGTTGACAAAAATGCCGTGCATTTCAAGAATAATAGGCTGCATAAAACCGGGAGAAGAGTAGGGCGTAACTTGTAGCGTCGTTTGAGGCGGTTGTAGTTGCAGAAGGTCGAACCGCAGTCCTAGCTCGCTCGATATGGAAAGAGTATGGTATGTTTTTTATAGTCTCTTATGTAGTGTATATGTAGTTAATTACATTGTTACTTAGTTACTCCTTTTGAGCTGAATAGGTGAAGACGTCAATATTACGTTGACAAGTAAGTATAAGTGAGTCTGTGAGTAAGGTTTGAAATTTCTTATTGTGTAGATAATGACTTGTATTTTTTGTCACTTTTTTTGTTGAAATTTTATGTATTTGTTATAGTGATATATATTATTTTTGTATTTATCTTCTATAAGTATATAGTGTAAAATTGATAATTGTATTCTTTCATCACCTCCTAAGTGTCGACTCACCTCCTTGTCGAACTTTAGTCGTAAGTATACAGTTATATAATTTTTGACGGTATTTTTATGTGTGTTTGGTGATGTTAAGATACTCTGTATAAAATTTGTACTATTTGCATTCCCTTTTAGAGCATCGACTTTATGTTTATTCGTTTTTATATTTGTTTGTGTAACCTCCGTATCTCCTGTTTATCTAGTTGTACAGAGGTATATTTTTCGTGTAAACATTACAAGTCCGTCTATAATGGAGTGTCGTGTGTGGAATATATTTGTACGTTTCCCGTGTATATAGTTCATTTGTATGTAGTCTTATTTATGTTTGAAGGAACTCACGAGTGCAATAACTTTAAAGTATCTATACAATGCAAGAAGGTGTTTGCAGTGTTA